TTTTCACCCCCCCCCCCCCCCCGAGTTCTTTTTTTTTGTTTTTTTTTGTTCATCTCTATGAGATATCGTCGCGTATTCGATTTCCACGCGCGTTAAAGGAAAAGCTTTCGCTACCATTGCCAATTTGAACTTTTGCTTTCTCGATGAATGTACACCAGGTACGCAATCGATTCAATGAAACGACTCATTCACGCTCACTGAATACGAAACCCCTATTGTAACTCTCTTTTGAAAAAAAAAAAACGGATTTATTACCATTGGTAATAAAAAAAAAAAAGAAAGACAAAAGAAAAAAGAGAAAAACGGAAAAATAGAACGAAGAGTCTAAACGACAGAGGACCGTTGTCACGGAGCGGGAGGGGGACATCGTTGGCCGTTCTATTTTTCTCCAGCTATGGCAACACCTGCGCGTGGAAAAGTTGCCCGAGTCCCGGCGCCTAGCGTCTCGCCACTTTTCCAGCCAGAAAGAAAGAAATCGCTGAGAATATCCCCGGTTAAAGTTACTCTCGGCTATGAACTTCCTACTCAGGAAGATTCGTCATCGTCTGCTTGTCCCCTCCACCACCCCCTACAACCCTGCGCCCTCCTCGCGCCATTTTTCCCTTTCCTCGAGGCCCGAGTTCCTGTCAACCTCGGCCTGTACACGAAAAGAACTTATAGCTGTTCGACGAAAGTTAATGCATCCCAGTGTGCTCGCGTCACATACACACGGCCATGGTTAGATGTTACTTCGAACTGTTACGCAACTACACGAACGATAATTTGTAGATGCGAATGGGACGACAAGATGTATATTTCCTAGCCAGAGTGCCGGAGAATACAAGATATTTCTGGGAGGAATAGCTTTATATTTGGGAACTTGCGTTCCATCTTTTCCCCCTCTTTTTTATTCTTCCTTTATAGAAGTTCCCTCGCTATTTGTTATTTTTATTATTCATAACAAGTCACGTTTGGAGACATCGATTCCATTGGCAACAGTCGAATTAATCGAACTTTGACTAAAATATCATATTGTAATATGAATAAAGTTTACGTAAATAAAATTCTACTAATAATCAGAATCTATTTACGTTACATTATTTACGTAGAACCAGTAACGTTAAAATTTCAAGTATCGCTCGAGTGTGCAAGCTTCTTCGTTCGCTAGCTTCCCTACATGAACGTGGATGAATCTCTGCGAAATTAAAACTAAAACACATTCATCAATTGTTTCAGCTTATTGTCACAGCAGAAACTCACTGTCGTCACTGTGCTCGTACATCACGGGAGATGCCCTGCTTTATTCGATGTTCCGGGAGGAGGCAACACCTGTGCCGTGCCCTTTTCGAGGACCTATGACTTTCTCCTATAACCGCGGTCACGGAACCTGTTCGGTACCGGTCAGCAACGTCGACACCTGCACCGACGATAGCAGACTATTGTTCAGATATCAGGCGTGTCCCGATATATCCGCTTCCGAGAGCGCAGGTAAGTGTTTTTTTTTTTTCCTATAGTAAATTTATCAAATTGTCCTTAGCCGAAAAAACGCGCAGAGAAAGAACAAATACGTGTCGGGTTTCTAGAAGAATTTTGTTTTTCTGTAAGAAGATATTATAATTGCTAGCGGAACAACTAGCAAAGTTAACCAAATGATAAATAGACTGTTGACTTTCGTGCGTAAAACATCCAAAATACTTCTTTAATGATATATTCCTCTAATAATACTTTCAATTACATTCGGAGAAATATAAATTCTAAGGGTCTAGTGGTAAATAGAAACTGCCATACTACTTATAGATTCCTTACATTTCTAACGATACACCATTACTATTTATTACATTCTTAATTGACGCTTAGATACCATCGTGACACGCAGCCAATCTTTCAGTGGATTTACGAGAATAGAATGACCCGGTTAACTCGAGTGAAATGCCAGTTACAAACGTCAGACATGAATACTAAATGACAGAGGGTTAACGACATTTATAGTCCTAACCCGTTCGAAATCATCACACTTAAGAAACCATAATTCGGGGGGAGCAGATTCGGCGACAGACTCTCGAAACTTTCGACGAAGTCTGCTCCAGGCTGTACGCTCGATTAATGGTTCAAAGGGTCAGGGGTTGGGCACCGATTAGATGTGATTTTCGTCCGTGCATTCGTTAGTCGCGGCCCGGCACGAGGGAGAGCTCGATTTCCGGCGAAGGGAACGAACGTTTGCCATTAGACGCACATCCGATAAGGGGTTTGCCGAGCTAACGATTTCTGCGTGGTGGAAAATTAAACGGAAGGACGGCTAGAAAAAAACGATAAGTTGCCGCCATGTCGAACGTGTCGTCATGTGATAATACAGTTGAATGATTCGATGGAATTTTCGAATAATAGAACAACTACTATTCTATATTTTCTGTAGCTTTTTTCTGTTTTCAAGATCTTTGTCATTCATAAGCAAACTGTTGATTCATCGCGAAATTAAGTTTCTTATTTGTTCGATTTAAATATCAAACGAATATTTAGACACATTAATATTTTAACGTTTTACTGCGATATGAGAAACAAACATAAATATTTCAAAACAACAAAATATAAGAGAAAATAGAAAAGAAAGGATCCATGATTTTCGCGTGATACAAAAGTATTGGATCTTTCGAAAAACCAAAATGTTGCTTGTACGTCATTGAGCAGAAACGAGGTGCAGGGTTAAATGGCTAAATGAGCTGAGAATCGTCCCTTTCACTCCCTAACGAACGTCCCCGCTCGCAAAACCACCGACTCGTTTTGCTTCATTTAGACTTCGTTAAACTTTCGTGGCGGATTGAACGCAGGATGAGTCTTCGATCGAGTGCCAGGCGCGAATAGTTTCCCTATTTTTGAAGAGCTTTCTCTTTCTTTTTTCTTTTCTGTAATAAAGTAACAAAAACCTGTCAGTCCTTGATAAAAATTTCTATGAAAAAAGTGAAAGAAAAGAAGATGTTATAACGTTAATGTTGGAATTTTCTCAAGACAACATCACGTAGAGATTGTCGAGACTAGGGGAATCTGAACGAAATCGTGCAACTTTTATGGACTTTTATCCATACACGTAGTTCGCTGGAAAAATATCAAAGAAGAGCGATCTATCGATGACAAGAGCGTATTTTGCAAATTGCGATCGCGATGCTGCACAAAGAGAAGCGTATCGCCTATCGATTTAACTTTGTAAAATTCCTCGTGTGATCGGCTGGGTCCCAACTGCCAGAGGAAGATTCGTCTCGTCGCGTCGGTTACATCCGACCGAAATTGTTTTTATTTTGATGGACATTTTAGCCGAAAACGCTGGACCATGGCGTATCGCCGTTAAATCGAATTAACCTCTGATGCGAAACACGCACGCACACACGTGAAAAAACGAGAGAGAGAGAGAGAGAAAAAAAAATAGTAAACAAGCGTAGAACAAGCGAGCGTAGCGATGCTCTTTTAGGTCCATCTCGCTCGCGCGATCTCTATATTGACACGTTTGATGGCTGCCTATACGTATTGGCTGAATTACCTAAGGCTGAAAGTTGAAATAGAAAAACTGGAACTTGCGTCAGCGCATCGGTGACAGTGTATCGGACAACGCATCCCTTCGAAATCGTTCAATTGCTTGCTTGAAACGTTTTTCGACGTAATTCATAGTTACGTTGATACAGGATATTACGATGAACAAAATCGAGCACACGTGTGAATTTTTAACATTAATGTCATTTTATCGAGTGTTTGCACGCGGAGTAGGAAAAAAGCAAAATACGTACTACTTTGTAGGTTGTTTCGGCTCTCAAAAAAAAAAAAAAAAAAAAAAATTTTATGATCGTTCTGACGAATATAACAATTGTTTTTGTGGATGTTTGAATTTTTAAAGTTAATTTAAGTGAAACATTGTTAATGCTTTAAACCGTTTTAACTTCGTTCGAAATGATCATATAACAATCTCGTTTTAAAACGTGAAGCTTCTGTTTCCACTACATTGAATTCAGTTTGTTTCCTCAAGATTTTGATATCCTAACTTCTTTCCTTTCAAACAAATTGTAAAAATTCACACATGTGCAAAAACACTGAAAAGTTTTATTTATGACTGAATCCATCACGGTCTTGAAGATCACAATTTCCCATTTCAACTTTTAATCCTTAA